GATTTTCAGGCCAAATCTTTTCAGGCAGTTACTGGGAAACAAACGAATTAGTTTATCAAACGAGCCTTTAGTCCTGCTAGTCTCTCTCACTATATCAGACCTAAAAAAAGTATTCAAATATAGTGTACTTTTTGAAGTTAATGGAAGTTTTGCTCTTAACTGAATCAAGTGCAGAATAGAATCTGATTAAAAAACTCTTAAAATGAGATTCTTAATCCTTAGGTTCAGTTGTTGTTTTTGTTGTTCTTTGTTAGTTTATTTGCTATAGGGCATGCACCAGAAAGAAACAGAGAAGAGAGAGAGAAAGTGAGAAATCCGCCCCCCCCACACACACACACACAAATATCACAATCCCCTCTCTTGGGACTTTGGGCACACCTGTACACACCCTGCGTGATTTTCAAGCCATATGGGATCCAGCTGTCTTAACCACTGCACCATGTGCTGGCCCAGGTTCAGTTTTTAATGATGTAAAATTGGACAAAAAGACTATTCTAGTAAAATAATCTTAACAGTAGTACAAAAGACTTGACTGCCACACAAAAAATTGTTTTTTAAATCATGTAGCGCTTGAGGTTTTTGGAAAGTCTTCAGTCTCAGGGAATTTTGTCTGCTATTGTTATGCATATAAAGGCCACATTTAAAAGCATTCTGATTACTTAACCATTTTGGTTTAAGCTTTACCATATAATGAATGATCACATCTTTACCTGAACTGAAAGTGTCAATGTAGCTCAAGATGGGCAATTTCTGACAGGGACAAAATTCTTACATGATTGGACAGTTTATTGTTTTAATTGACAAAGGAGGCTGGATAAGTTCTTCATTTCTTTTTTCTTTTTGTAAATCACATTCACTTAAAATATTTAATAGTTAGGGCTGGCCTCACAGTGTAGTGGTTAAATGCTGTGCATTGAGAGGGGGATCCCACATGACCAACTGAAATTAGAGTACTGACCCTGGTTGCATGATGGGCCTGCACCAAATCCTGACAGAGAGATGGAACAAAGGAGAGTGCAATGTGACCATGCCCCACTTGGGGGTGCTTTCTTCTCTCTCTCTCTCTCTGGTAAGCACTCATGTGTGGCCTCTGGATATTAAAAATAAATAAATAAATTATATATATATATAGTAACTAGCTACATTGTTCATGAATTAAAAAATTTTAAACTAGATACCAGTAGATGGCATAATTGTTTTGTCGCTAGACTCCTACATGGTCCACTGTGGTTTGAGTCCCAGATCTGGCAACTTGAAACACACTGGCCGTGTGTGCAGACATGGCCAAAATCCTGAGAGAAGAATGGAAGACAAGAGATTGTAGCATGGCCAACCCCCCTGGGGGTGATTTCTCACTTTCTGACTGTCTCTGTGTCTCCAGCAAGCGCATGCATCCTATAGCAAAAATCTCTTAAAGGGACCAGCAGTTAGCGTAATGGCTATGTCGCTGGACTCCCACGTAGTCGACCGTGGTTCGCATCCCGGACCTGGTGACTTAAAACTCACGCCGGGCGCATGTGCGTGAGTGCCCAAGATCCCAAGAGGCGAATGGAGGAGAAGGGATTGCAGTGTGGCCATTCCCCCTTGGGGGTGATTTCTCACTTTCTGTCTCTCTGTCTCTCTCTGTCTGGTGAGTGCACGCGCCCTATAGCAAAAACCTCTTAAAAAAAAAACTCTTAAAAATTTTTTTAAACTTAAGTAAGATTTGGTTTTAAATGAAATACATTTTAAATGAATAACTTCAATATAAAATCAGGTATATCTGATTTTGAAGAAACTTAGTCAAAATGTTTTGACTGAAGCAAATATTTTTTTCTTATTTTGGCATTATTATCCATATACTCTATGTATATGTGTAAGAAAATAGGTCAGCTGTTTTATACCTATAAATGTATAAAGCTATCTGGCTAAGGTTATATAGACATTTGGCAATCCTGTATAAAGACTCAGGTCCTTGTAGTCATCATTTATTACTGTTTTACCACAAATAGCCCCTCTCTATATAAAAATGGCTTAGCCCAGTTTTAGTATTTTCATTGATTCAGTTAGATCACACTTTACCCTTTCTTTCATGCCCCTGCCCCCAACAAACAAACCCCCACACACTCCCAACACAGCATGGTGATCAAGGTGTGAGGAGATCAGAGTTTTAGGCTTGGTTCTGCTCTTGTAAGCACCAACTTTTCTGGACCTGACTTTCCACATTTCTTCTAGTTGCTTAATTCTAAGTCTTGGAACACATCATACTCTTCAGCCCCAATGTTAGTCTCACCCATCATTAGTGTTTTAAAGGGTGACCATGGAAGTTAAATCACATTTTATATTTTAGCAATTTACTTTACAAGTAGGCACAAGTGACTATACTTTACTAGTATATTATCTAATATGATCTGTTATCTAATAGTTAGCATTTGAGTTTATGTCATTTTGGACTGATGGAAAATTGTAATATCAGATTTTAAATTGTAACAGTAAAAAGAGACTTCACATTTTGGGGACATATATTTTCTCATCTGATCAAGTATACTTTAAACTCATTCATGTGAAATTAACCAAGGGAGATCAAGAAAATGTTGACAGTATAAATACCAAAAATCTTTTACAGTGCTATTATAATTTATATTCTTTTCCCCATAAGCACTATTAAAAATACTTACGTGGACCTAGAAAATGTATAAGTATTTGAAAATATAAGTAAATATCTACTTCAAAGATACACAAAAAGCACATTCAAACATGACTTTTGATTGGTTAAGTCTCTGGGTCCCTACTTTCCTATCATTTCCATTTTGGAAATGGTAAAAGTGGTTCAGTATAAAAGGGCAGAGGATAAGCATCAACCAAGAATTCTCCCAGGTCCATGAAAACATGTACCTTTTTCTTCCAATGCATAAGAAATGAAAGAACCTGAGAAATCAAAATTCTCATCCACTGTAAATATAATAGTATGCCCATAAGCAGCTGATATCAATCTCACATTTGTATTATGCTTTCTCTATTTACAAAGCTTCTTTAAATGACCTATTTGACTCTCAAAATAATTCCATGAAACACAATAAGTGGAGTTCTTAGTCTCATTTTACAAATGAGAAAAATGGTGCTTACAGAGGTCAAGTAATTTACTCATGTGAGATATTCATATAGCAAAGACAAACTTCAAACCACATTTTCTGCTTTCTTGTTCAATACTCCTTCTACTCTACCACTTTGGTTTTCAAACAAATGAAATAACTAGTTTAACAGTAAAAACCTTATGACTCCAAAAAGCAGCTTCATTTGGTAGCCCTCGGTGGTTAGGAAATTTACAGAACAAAATAGAAATGTTCATTATGAAATATTTGACACTGTGATCAAAACATTCCTCCCAGGATAGGAGTTTAATCAATAAGTTAAAAATTAGATGGGCAGCTCTGTGGCCTACTGTTTAAGGGAGTCAGAGCCTGCGTAGCCAACCATGATTCAAACCCCAGCTGTGGCAGCTTCAAAAACATGCCACATTGGGGCCAGCAGTGGGATACTGGTTAAGGTGCTGGACTCCCACATGGCCAGCCACAGTTCAAATCTCGGACTAAAAACTCATGCCAGGCTCATGTGCGTACATGCCCAAGATCCCAGGAGGAGAATGGCCATCCCCACAGAGGATGATTTCTCACTTTCCCTCACTGTTTCTGTTTCTCCCTGGTGAGTGCACATGCCATATGACCAAAACCTTTAAAAAGAAAGAAAGAAAGAAAAACATGCCCTACATGTGTGCATGCGTACATGCATACCCCAAGTCCTAACAGAATGGATAAATGGAGAATGGACTATGGCATGACTGTGACCATGCTCCATTGGAGGGTGCTTTCTCCCTCTTCCTCTCTCTTTCTGTAGCTCTCTGGTGAGCACATACACCTTCTGGTAATTAAAAAAAGAACAAGTTAACAATTAGAAAATTTAAAAGTAATTTTAATGCCCTAACAGATTATTTTACCTCCACTTATACTGAAGAGATTATAAAATACAGGTTGAAAGCTAAATATATCAAATACCTAACCAATTTTCTTTGCCCACAAAAATCTTTTCTGCATTCTCACTGTATTGGAAATGGAATTGTATTGGAAATTTCCTTGGATAAAAATGCTATTACTAAAAGCATTCTGTATTTGCTTATGTTGGTAATCTTGACAAAGTTCAAAAAAAGTCAGTATTTAAATCACTTTAGTTTTTCATTCTAAATATGGACAGTACACTGTAGCATCAAAACATTTGCTGATGAATGGTCCTTCATTTTTATTGATAGAAATATTTCCTTAAAATATTTTGCTTGGATCCGTAGATATCTTTATAAAATGTGAAATTTTTAGGAGCAATAGATCAAGCAAAAAAAATTAGTATAAAACTTACTTTCTTATGGTCAAGTAAAACGAAAGGAGAATAAATATTTCAGAGAATGGTAAAAAACCTAGTACTGCTATTTTAGTTCCAAGTCAATGCTTCTGAGAATGTCTTCTTTGCAAGGGAACAGTGCATTTTAAATACACGTTACTATTTTATATTAACAAACTAACTCAAGAGAATGTATTTCCTGATAAAAAAAATCTTTTCATTTAGATTGTATATGTACAAAAATTCATTTTGAGCCATCAAGAAAAATTAGTCTTATTGACATCTCTGGACACTAAGGCCAGCTATATGGTAACAAAGTGAGGATGGAGGTAATTATTCAGATACTCCAGTTTCAAGAAAAAGTTGTCTGCTTTGCCTGATAATTTAGCAAAATATCTAATCCGGTAGTGTAACAAGTAAGCATAATGCTCTGAATCAAATACCTTACAAAATAGTATTAAGGTGGTTTCAGCTTTTTTTTAACACCTTCATTAAGTTATTCTGCCGTAATGTTGGTATTGATCCTGAAATGACACCCAATCTGTTCTTGTTAGTTCTTTGGCATCTTTGACAGTCAAGTCAGCAGAAGCACTCTTT